TCCTCCCATTATAGATAGCTAGTTTTGATAGCTATGGTCTTTCCAAATAGGAATAAGCTTCCTAATGAAGATGATATTCCAAATGGAAATCAAGGTGAAAGATCAATCCCTTTGTTGTGCATCAGTGGGACTGGAAATCATACTTCGCTTCCTCCACCTCCTCCAATAATTCTCCTTATCCCACAAGTTTCAAGAATTGATAAGTTCTAAGTCACTCATTCCCTATTGGCAAACAAAGTCTATATGTGCTTACGTCACATATTGACAGGCCGAGAGAGTTAGGTGTCAAAGTCTCGAGGTAGCTAGCTGTTGACTTGGTTCTTCAGTCACTCCCTGATGATAGATCACGACATGACATTTAATGATCTTATCTATTTGCTTGGTGCTGTTGAATCAACAATGATTTGGAACACTGGTAAAGAAAATTTGATTAGAAGATCAACTTCCCAAAACTTCATGGACATTGACAATGGTGACACTGGAAATCCAAAAAAACGTTCTCTTCCCAATGGAAAGAGATCGGCCATAGTCAACTCGGTTGATCAAATGGTAAAGAGAAAGGCTAAGTCTGTGATAGTCACATGTACCATTTCCAAAGAGTCCATATGTTTCTTTTGCCAATGAAGGGGACATTGGTTGCGAAGCTGCCCAATTTACCTGAAATTTCATAAGGATGGTAAAAGTAAAAAATTTTGACTTTGCTTCGGGTAAACTCCATTATGTAGCTTTATTAAGCCTCCTTTTGAGATTCTTAATGCATGATGTAATGTAATTTCATTTTGATGTTTTGGAAGAATCAAAGGAAGCTTAAAGTATGATTATGCTGATTTTGATCACGAAGATGGATTTCGATCGCATGGTTCGGTGATCAAAATTTTAAGTTGTTACTTAAGAGTTATGATATATTGCTTAGGAATAGATAAGAACAATTTTTCCATATGGATTGTAAGGATAAGTTTTCCGCAAAGTTTTAAAATAAAAGAAAAATGGTTTTGATTTTATTTATTTTAGGTATCCTTACAATGGCTTTTGTGAAAAATTGTTTCCTATATGATTCCATTGATAACAATATTGGAAAATGGATTTGATTCTTTAATTTGTGGTAGTGTCATAATTTACCAAATAAGGAAAGATTCTCATCACCCAAGTTTCAGTTGGATAGAAACTTGGAAGCATGCAACTTGTATTGTATGATGAATGAGAATTTTAATCTTTAGGAAATTAAGACTAATTACTTATTCACATGTATATGTGAGTCAAGTGAAGGACTAACAGATCGAGTACATTAGGCTGCGTGTTGGTCAGGTCCACCACAAAGGTTGAAAAGATTATTCGTTATGATTTACTAAAGTGAAGGACTAACGGATCGAGTACATTAAGTGTAATTCAGAAACATTGGAAAAGTTTCAATGTATGGTAGAACGGATAAGAAGAATCAAATAAGACAGAAAGATAAAAGTTTCTCTAATCTGAAGAGATGGGAGAGTACTTGAGTATCTTGTTTTATGATTATCTTAGTGATTATAAAAACATATCACCATTGATCCTCTAAGGACACCTTAGTTCATTTGTTGGCTAAGGAGAGGAATCGTGAATTGTGGAAATGGTTAAATCAAAAGATAAATCATACTTCGTTACAAAATCAAATCTTAGAGTCATACTCCAAGATTGAGCCTTGAGTGACATAATCTTAAGAAAGGTTTAAAACGCTTGTCAAATGTAGAGTAAAATGTTTTCTACTCTTGTACATTTGAAATTGGTAAGTTGTGATGTCTTGGATAAGACAAAGACAAATAAGACCAATTGTGTGAAGTGTTTAACTTGATAAGATTTTGCACTAAATCTTAAATATTTGTTTTGTTAAGGAATGGTTCTTGACAAGAGAGTCTTATATGTCAAGAGGACAATGGGAGTCTAAAAGATCCTAAAATAATTTCAAAGAACTAATCAAGAGTATTGTTAATCACTAGCCCACGACCTTCAGTCCATATGAGTCTGGATTTTTCACTAACCTTGTCATGTGATTATGGTTATGACAAATTCAGATGGATAGGAACACTTAAACCATACAATCTAAGTGTCATAAGGTTTCTCTTTGATTCATGAAAATGATGGTGAGGAAACTCTTTCACTAAGTAGATAGCAAGTATGATATTTGAATTCTCAAAGTCATTAGTGGAGCGCGTGTGGTTAACCGGCACACTAACTTGGACTTGTGAGAATGACAAAAAGCCAAAAAGTTCTAAACATTATGATTACGACATCCCTCTACATAATTGTTTAGACACACATGTAAGCTATCTAAGGAAAGGTGTATGATTTTGATAAAGTCTTATCAAAGCAATCTCGTATCAGAAATATGAACTTTGGTAGGAAAGTCAATAAAATATTGATTTCTAGAAGCCCAGCTGATTTTTTTGGATACATGTCAAAGCTAGTGGGAGCATAAGTGTTATGCTAGTATGATAATAATCATTATGCTAGTGGAAGCATGATTATTATGTTGTATGTTGCAAGTTAGCAATGTTAATTATAGGAAACAAAAGTTTCAATTTGCTTTGAAAAGTTGTTTTGCTATAATTAAGGGACATGATTTTATACTTCATTTCAATTCTACAAGCTTAGATTGAGATTTTAATCAACTTTAGTCAAGAATATATTTTAATGTTATGTTGGAATGGTTCAACATAAGGAAATTCAATATATGTTGCGCTCTAAAAATTTCGATTATGATTACGGCATCCCTCTTCATAGTTTGAATTATGAGAACATGGAAAACAAAAATTTATAGCATGAATCGTGTCCCATATGCTTTGGGTATAGGATCGATTACATGTGCTTTAATATTTATCCATTCTAAATTTTCCAAATGCTTAGGGCATTAAGAAGGGAAAATGATTAGAATTGGATATGACTAAATTGATTAAGCAATTATCGAGGGCAATTTGATGCTTACCAAAGATTGGTTACTCATGGACAATTGGAAGTTTAGAGTAAGGAACATATTGACATATCCTGAAAAGAGGCAAATCTTTTTCCGAAGTGATAGCCAAAGTGGCAATATGGAAATGTTTCCATAGGTGGAAGTTATTCTTTAAATCTATGTAAGATTAGAAAACTTAATGCAAGAAGGGTGTTCAAAGGAGTGTACATTGAATTTGAGACTTCATTTCCATGGAATTGCCTTCCATTGGAATACTCTGTAATGTCTGTCGCCAAGTCTTTGTGACTTCTGTGCATAGTCATTAAAAGGGGATCATTGCATATAAGTTTAGAATCTAACAGATTATAGTAAATGGCAAGAGTTTGGTATTCTTACATTTACAATAAGGATTGGAATTGTGAAGTACGCATCATTGAATTGTTGTTAATCGATATGTTTCACAAAGAGAGGACCATATATAAACATAGTGTGCATACTTGGAGTATGGAATAGCTATTGTTTAGATAAACATAGTGTGCATGCTTGGAGCATGGCATCACTACTATTTTAATTCAAGTATTAAGTTGATTAATCGAAACATGAATAATGAGTAATCCATATGGTGCTTAGATAAAGGTGTTTTTATTTACACTGAAAGTGTTGACTCCATACAAGATTAGTATTATTTTTGTGTTTCACTTTGCATGTTTTGACTTCCAAAATAATTAGATCATTCTTCCCGAATGATTAAGTTATTCAAACCATCCACAGTCAATCATATGTTGGAAGTAGATATGAATCAAGACTGTCATGAATTTGGCTTGTATGATTTGTCTAATGTGCATTAGACATAGAAAGAGTTGCTACAACATTCATGAGTCTCATAAGTTCTGAGTATTGGATTTAACCCACACTCATTTGAATCACTTCATGGATTTTGTCATGAGTGAATCATGAGACAATAATATCTTATATTCTTCAAACCTAGAGATATGAGTTGTTGACTATGAGTTAGTTATACATTGATTGCACGAAAACGCATTAGTAACTCAATGTTATAAAACGTGCCTTTGTGTATGATTCAACAAGTATTCAGTACAAGCATATGAGTTGAAGTTTATCCATTCATTTTACCCTTAATGGGATAAAAGCGATATCTGTGGGGCCCTCGATGATTTAGTGATGACAAAATGTAAGTGCTCGGCCGAGCCTGGACTGATTTGATTTGTTCAATTAGTCAGTCGTCATATATCAGAAACTGGGAAACAACGAATGGACAGAGAGAATGATTATAATCCATGTATCAGTCCATATGATATCTAGAATGGAGGAATATATGATCACTTATCTAATGGAAACGTCATTGATTTTTTCAGAGTTCGACAACGGCTTTTGAGAGCTACGATTGCTAGTCGGGTTATGAAGTCGTACTTGCAATAATAGTTTTAGATTTATTCAAGTGGGGGACTGTTGGATTAGTGTCTAAGTCCATAACTATAATTGGTATATACTTGACCCGACTCGGCATGGTCCATTTTGGTTGCATGGCATCATGCATTTGGATAGACTTAAATGAGAGAAATAACACTTAAGGTTTATTAATATATTATAAGTTTTAATATATTAATAAGATTATTTAATTAGTATTGATCAAGAATTAATCTACAATTAATTAAGTGATCAAAAGAAGACTAATTAAATATATGGGTTGATTATGTAAATCATCCATACTTATATAGTGGGCTAATGCTCCATGGATTATCAAGTTGGGCTAAAACCCATAAGATGCTCCATGGTGTATTTGAACCCATGGATCCAAGGAAATGGAAAGCCATGACAGTTAGGGTTCACCCTAATTGTGTCACACTATATAAGCATATCGTTCTTGTCAAAATCGGGCACTAGGTCTATGCATGCAGACAATTATATAAGTTATAATAACAAGTTTTCATACACAAATCTTCAAAAATCTTATTTTTTTCATAATATCAAAAGCCATACCTCGTCACATGGTATCCTTGTTTTGATATCATCAAAATACTTCAACCCTAATATATGTGACTTTATTAACGTGTCATCACTTTTTAAATCCTCCAGACTTCTGTGTCCTTTTTTCATACAGTTTCAATGCAGTTGCTGGACCAATCCCCAATACTTCCCCAAACAAACTAATTGTCCTTACCTAGGAAAAACAAAAAAAGTGATTTTGATTTTCAGATATACAGTTTGCAAAAATGTTTTGAAACCCTAATTACAAAAACTTAATCAAACGAAGAAAAACAAACCTGCAGTAGCTGAGAGGTCGAAGGTCTCCGGTGTAGCTGTGGGGTGCGACAGTCTTCTGTCGGTGGTGGCTTTACAGGGAGGCCATGGCTAACAACGGTGATTGAGGAGGACTCGTCGCTTAGTAACCAACGATCGAGAGAATCAGGTGGAGGGTCTATGAATGTGTCGATACATAACGTGTATAATAAACAAGACCCTATTTTCCATCAAGTTATACCTATATGAAACAATTTTTTAAAAAAATTAATACAAGTTTTTCTGAGTTGAAATAGTCATATATTCATGTATGTATATAGACCATAATGTTTACCTCCAATGTAAATTAGTTGACTCAAAACACATAGAACTTATCTCAGAAAATGAAGTAATTCAACAGGGCCATTGTTTTTGTAAATAAAGTAATTCAGAAAATGACGTGGCTGAAACAGGACCTTAAGTTCAGCTTTAGAAGCTGACCTACAAGGTGGAAAACACATCAATTGACGACTCCCTTTAAGGAGGCTTTGGCATATAATTGAAGTATTAATAAGAAAAAAGATATTGAAGTAATAAAAGAACTTATGAATTAGAAATTCATTATCCCGACAAAACCATCTTTCATAAAAGACATCCCTTCTTTGAAAATCTCTCTATTCTGTTTTTAGATGTATATAATAAGGAGAAAATGAGTTTGTAGTAGATAATATCCTCATTTAATCGAATAATTATCAATAACAAAAGTAAAAGAAGAGATGCATGGAAGATAATTACTTACTTTAACATCAACAGTTTTCACATTGGACTATAAGTGGGAACCCCAGCTACTCTTTTTATCAACAAAACTTCAAACACCAGCTACTCTTTTTCATCCTCCTTATAAATTATAATACTTTGTTATATAATCACCTTGCTTCAACAATGGCATGTACAGTTTTATTCCTCTTAACTCAAATGACCAAATTTAGTATCAGCACTTCTTGTTTGCTTAAAATACAATTAAAGATTAATTGTGACATATGTAACAGAATAAATTATCATAATTAATAAAAAAAATTACATGCCCATCTACATTAATTAATAATACCTGGTATTAGCTACCACTTTTTTCAACGATAGTAGACAAACGATGTTGGTCCTGTAACAGCATTACAAATAAACATTGAGCTTAGATTTTACACTTTATGCAAAAAAAGATAGCCCAACTTCAATTATATGCCAACTGCAGATTTAATCAAATAATATAACGCTTAATATGGAGCATCATAGGAAGTAAATGAATATGGATTTTTATCTAACACTTGGTGGGAGAAAATAAGTGCACATATAACACAAACTCTTCTCTGTATCTCTTCAATCCCATTGAAAACATCCTTAAAACTCAAAATGCATTGTGATAAGAAAAACTATTAATAGGAGTACCTGAGAGAAGTTCATATTTGGTGGTGACAGGTGTATAGTTGGAAGCGGTTCATAAAGTACAATACTGAAAGAAAGAGAGAGTGAGGCTCTCGACATGATGAAGGAACACATCAGTCAGCTGAAGAACAAATTGATCAGAATGTTAGAAAAAGAGAAATCGATACCTACTTGGATGCAGGAGAAATAGATAAAGGTTGTGCCCTTCGCTCTTGAGTTCAATGAAAAAGCTGGAACTGTTAGCTACAAACAACACTAGAAAAAACCTTAATCAAAACTTCCGTTCACTAAATCAATTCCACTGATGCTACAAACAAACATATTTTAATCATAGAACCTTAAAAATTAACCTGATATCACATTAGATCTTTTGAATTGCCCTTTAGTCGAATTTCCCAACCTACAATCGCCATCATGATCAACAATAAAAGTAGGTGGAGGTTCACATATTTATAAGAAATAAAATTGATGTGGATCAAGGATAAGAATAAGAAGATCCCAAAAACGATTTTATTCAAAATCTCGAGAATAGTCGAGGTCGACGATAAAGAAGTTATACATTGAAAACTAATGAATGATTACTGGATAAAAGGAAACATATTAGGAGGAAAAAGTTAAACCTTCACACAGGAGATGAGAGAAAGCAAAATCCAATTACCTTTTGAACATCATTTAGGGATTCATCTACCGAGTCCGACCTATCATCTTCTTTTTTGTAAGATCGAAAACTGTTAGATGAGATGGAGGTGGGATTAGAAGCGAATTTAAGGGATCGAACCCACCCAGTGCCATTTTCCTTCCCCTAAACCACCATCGCTCGTAAACGTAGATCCCAAGGCGAGGAATCCCCGGCGCTCCGTGAACCAACGAAAGCAAGAGCAATTCTCGTATGAAGACGAAGCCCTAGGGCTTTTTCGAAGAAGGTGGAGATGGCGGAATCGAGATCGAAGTTGTGCGATTCGAGGAGGGAGGCTTCTTCTTTGGTAGCAGAAGTAAGTTCTGAGAACGCTGCGATCATTTCCTGGCGGCGATTAATCTAATTTTGACTTTCAATCTTCAGTGAATTTACTAGTGGTGGTGGCTTTCAAGCCAGCTTTGAGTTTTTCTTCTAATTGAGAGATATTGAACACAAGTGTAGGTGGTGCCCAGATGTTAGGGCTTGCTGACTCACTCCAGCCAGGCTCAATAGCCAATGAGATCAATGGAGCCGAAGAGAAAGCATGCAGGAAAGCATGACTCTCCATGTGAAGATCAAGAAATAGTGATTTCAACAGTGTGAAGTTCTTTACGCCAAGCTGGCGGCTGAGCAACCGCGTAGCGGTGTCGAAGTTTCCGGCCGCCGCATCTTCAGCCGCAAGATATGATTTTTGGACCCTAGCACGTCCTAGAGAGAAAGGAGGTGGCGATGCCTTAGGGTTTGTAGAGAGAAGCTCTGGAGGAAAAAGTGAAGAAGCGGGCACTTCAAAATATTAGAATCGCAAAGGATTTCATTTTCAGCCTTTAAAAACGCGCGTTAGATTAAAAAAATATAAGGTGACATTTCTAGAGGACACACATTTAAAACAAGTTCCCTCCGTGTTTGTATTTTTTTTGTTGGACATTAATTAGAAGGGCGCAAAAATGCGTGTCCACTATCCTTCAAAATTTGGAAGGCTGACATTATTTTTAAGGTCACAAGAAAATGTGTATCGTAAATCAGCGAGTGTCATTGTTTGCGCGTCGTTAAAGGGTATTTTTCTTGTAGTGCTTTCAACTGTAGTATGAAAATCCTTTATTTTGAGAGCTTAGTATCACAACTGTAATACCTCTGATCGATCACAAACACCAAGGCACTTGGAAGAATGTAAGAGAGAGAGGATAGAGGTGATTTTCGGCTTTAGCAATCCTTTTGGGCTTATGGTAGCTGGAAATGTGATGTCTAGGGTCCCTATATATAGGTAAGCTGCTAGGGTTTCAGTTATAACCCTAATTGGATAACTTAGGCCTTAAGCAGTCCAAAGGAACCTTCAAGAACAAGGCCTTAGACGATTTCAAGGTGGGCTTCCCTCCTTTATTTCGTCCACCTCTTCCTTACGGATCCTCAGCCTAAAATCCAATTATCTTATAAATGCATTTCCAGTCCCCAAGATTTAGGTAATATCTTTTGACCACAAAATTAATTTCCTAATTAATTATTGACCAATATTAATTAACCAATCTGATTTCTCTTTTAATATATTATTCATATAATATATTAATAAAACATAATAACCTCTCTATTATTTATCTAGTCAAGTTGCTTTGGTGAAGGTAACCCAAAAGGACCATGCTACAATCAGGTCAAGTACATACCAAATATAGTTATGGACTTAGACACTAATATAACACTTAGGTACCCAAATTGTAACGACCAAAAAGTCCAACTAATTTAAATTTTTCAAAAACAACCCGATTTCATTAAATTATTACAAAAAGGTTTTCAATGCAAATCATTTAGTGTATTCCCAGAATCACATTACTACAAAATCATGAGGAGCGGTACGATCACGCCTTCACCTTGCCACAGTCTCCTGAAGAACCTGAAAAACATTAAACCACAACTGTAAGCCCGAAAGCTTAGTGAGATACCCCCAAAATACGAACCACGTATACCATACACATATCACTCTATCTCATAACGAATCACAGAATAGCCATGCATATCAGGTCTACTGTGGGACTGGTCCGCCTTGCAGGGCCTTCAGTCCACCTGGTCCACCCTTCGGGTCCAATCATGTCCCTCGAGTCTGTAGTATGGTTGGTCCGCCCGCACTGGGCCTTCAACTCACCTGGTCCACTCTCTGAGTCTACAGTATGACTGGTCCTCCCGCATCGGGCCTTCAGTCAGCCTGGTCCATTCTCCGAGCCTCGGCACGTTTGGTCCGCCCTCGTGGGGCCTACAACCTATCCGGACCGCTCGTTGGGCCTTCGGAATAACTGGTCCGCCCTGGGTATCTTGGCGTACAGCACAATGCAGGACCCGCCTCAACCCAACTCCAGTCCAAAAAACTATGTGCACATAAACATACAATCACATAACAAATCATATTCATGTAAACCGATCTAGCAGATCACATAACACAACATACTCTAACGGGATACCGACCTAACCGGTCACTAGCATAGCATCATCCTATCTACCAGGATACTAACCTTAACCGGGTCTCTAACGAGTACCATCCTAACTACCAGGATGCAAACATATCAAAAATTTAACATAACAATAGATACCCAGATCTTAATCCGATAAAAGGGTCGGCCTTGGTGCCTTAGACCCTGTTGATATAGTGAGGATAACTCACCTCGAAACTGCCGGCTGAAGGGATAAGATCCCGCTGCTCCGAACTCCGACACGAACTTCTCCACTGAACACCAAAACACTCAACTCAATATTTACCCTTATTTACCAAAATACCCCTAGAAGACAACTGGTCAACCCTTGGACAAGGTCAAAGTCAACCCATGACTGACTCTACTCGCCGAGTCAACCCGATGACTCGCCGAGTCCCCAAGCTCAGACTTCCCTCAATCCGCGACCTGACTCGGCGAGTCACCCCGAGACTCGCTGAGTCCAACCACTTTGAGTCCACTCGCACCCAACTCACCGAGTCATCCCTTGACTCACCGATTCTCGACTCAACCAGAAAATATTGGGACTCTTCGACAAGACTCGCCAAGTCCAAGAACAGACTCGTCGAGTCTAAGGCTATCTTCAACCTACTCGCCAAGTTGTTCATCCAACTCGCCGAGTTCCAGCTCATCTTCAAGCAACTCGTCGAGTCCACCCTTGTGACTCTCCGAGTACCATCGGTCTGAATCAGTACAGAAGCATTCCAGACCATGCAATTGATCCAAAACATAGATCCAGCCTCCTACAACCTATCCATCACGTAAAGTGGCAAACTTTACGTGAATCCATGAAGATCTAGGCATTATACACATTAGGGCTAAGGTTTGGGACAAGATAGCTTCACTAAATACTCAATCACAGGGACTTTCAGGCATTCCAACCCTTCTCTATTCCAGATCTGAGGTAGCAACCTCAGATCTAACCTCTAGACTCCAAAACATCAATAGATGTGATCTCAACACCCCCCCAAAATGAAGAATCTAGACAATAGCAGCTCAAGAACAAGATATTACCTTCAAAGAAGGCCCCAACAACAATGAAACTCGAATCCAAGCAAAACCCTTTGATCCAAGCCTTTTCTCCTTCAAGATTTCTTCAACTAGCATTTCTCCAAGCTCCAAGTTGCCCAACAATGGTGTTCCTCCATGAAATTAGGATTTCTGGGGCTCAAGGGGAATCAAAGAGGCTGGGGAGGAAACATAATGTTCTTTATATAGAGCTCAACCCCGAGAATTAGGGTTTTCTCCACTCAGCACCTACTCGCCGAGTCCATCTTTGGACTCGCCGAGTAGGCCACTTGACACGTGACCAAAGTCGCGACCCTACTCGCCGAGTTGCCATCCAATACTTACACTTTTAGCCCTTCAACTCTACTCTTGCTATTCCGGGATGTTACAATTCTCCCCCACTTAAATTAGGCTTCGTCCTCGAAGCCTACGGCAACTCAACTTCAAAATACTTCCCACGACGCGCCACCTGAACTTAACCGGACCAGGTCCCTCAGGGCATACCCAACGAATCTCAAACTCACTTTCTCTTTCCATACGGTGTCCTGACCACCATCTTAAATCGGGCACCGACTGTACCCTTCGATAACCGCACTCAACAACCGAGAATTACCCATAATCCATTACTACTCCAAATCACAACCATTACTCGACCCATATGAGCTATAATTAACTTGAACCACCCGATTCCCGATCCGAGTCCAACTCTATCCATTCCAGGATAACAGAAAGACACACTCTTCAGAGCAACTCCCATGAGTTCTCTTCTTGCAATCGCATGCACATGCTGAACTAGCTCTAGCACCCTCGGGTCAGGAAATCCATCACTCTGACGATCCTCAAAACATCCCTCAGGATGAACTGCTGATACATAAATCCTTTCCCGAGATCAAACTGGGAACCCAAAACTCAATATCTGCATCCCTTACGAGTCTCTTGACTTTACAGCCTCGGAAGTCCCTTCTGCAACCCCGACAGGCATCCCCTCATGATGTCATCCCAAACCGCCGCCGCACATGCTGCTCAATGACCACCGTCGGACCACTCCGATCATAACTCTACACTGTCGTTTTCACTTCCGTGAATTTTCACTCCCTTTCGGAATTTCATTCCTCCCTCTTTCCTTACCAAGGAAACCACTCGCCCACCTTGTCACCATGACAAGTAGTATGGTGCTCACCCCACGCTATACCACCTCTTTAAAGCGCACCCGATATCCATTCAACACAACTACTCTGACTCTCATCATAGGGACTCTCAAGCCTATACACTATCTTCACTGATCAAGATCACTACCCGGGACCAGACCTTCCAATGAAATCACACTGCAACATTCGCAATACATAACCTCGAATCGATCCAACAATACTCGCAGAGTCTTCAGCATGACTGGACCGCCTCACCAGGCCTTCAGCCAATCTGGACCACTCTCAGAACCTTCAGCCAATCTGGACCGCTCTCAGTGTCTTCAGTCTGGCTGGACCGTCCTCCGAGCCTTCGGCCTGACTGGTACGCCTACCGACCTTCAGTCTATCCGGACCGCTCAACTAGCACTCATCATTCCGAGCTATCTCTTCGGGAAATCCTCCCGTGCATACCGTTCTAGCCCTCTAAGGGTTCCGAACTCTATCTCCATCATACATACTCGATCCCGGCCTGCTCCCAGGCCCTCCACAATCAAATGCCCTAGGTCTGTATTCTGCCCCGCACGTCTGTTACTCACCCATACGAGCTTGCTCTCGGCTGATAGAAATACCGCTGAATTCCCCAAGCAGCTAAACAACCTCTCAAGCCTAACAACCATCCGGAGAATTTCCAATTCTCCCCCACTTAAGACACTGACAATTAACCACGGGTCACCATCACCGATCTCCCAAAACAACCTTGCAGAAAACCAACACTTACACGCAAATTGTTTCACACCAGCACTAACAACTTTCATAAAAATCATATTTCCACACTGAACAACCCGCTCGAAAGGAACCCAATCTTCAACTATCCATTCCTCAGACTGCAGAGGCTACCCGACATTCAAACCAACGCTGCATCCGCCACTAATCCTCACAAAGATAATCAACGATAGCTCGAAGCACTGATCCATAACCATATCGATCCTTTAGGGGACAAAGGATACCAAAACGAAATCCTGAACACAACTCGCCAAACCCTCAAGGAACAACGGATACCACACGAAAACCCGAAACGCAATTCCATAACCATCCAACGAGACTAGCAGATAAACGATACTCCACAATAATAAAAAATAATCAAGACAACAGGAAAGAAACATACCCGCAGCAGCAAGCTGAAAAGCACGACCCTAAGCCCTTGGGGGCTCCGCTCCACCCTGAACTCCACCTGTGATTCTCAACGTGGCCGGTTACCAACTTGTAACGACCGAAAAGTCCAACTAATTTAAAATTTTAAAAAACAACCCGATTTCATT